TGCAGTCATGCAAATTAAATACTTGTTCGGTTTGTTTGAAAATATTGTTCGGTTAAATGTTTTATATGACCACTTAGCAATCGCATGATTAGTTACAATCGCATGCATCATTACATATTAATTTTTGGTTACTGAAACTTTTAAGTCTCATTCCCCGTGGTTAATATTTTTACAGGAGTGAGTCCGGTCGAGAAAGCACCAGAGGTGTAACTATGGTGTATGAGACACCATCTTTTACGTTGCCTCTTATTTTGGATTATACAATGTATCTTGTGCCAACTTAGGATATATCTTCTTTGTGAAGCATGTAAACACAAATCCTTTTTATTAAAAGTATTTATATGACCAAGAGGATTATATCTGTCCCTCTTGATTTATGATCTGATTTGAATATCATGCCATGAGGATTATGTCTGTCCCTCATGGTTTTAATTGCCTTTTTGAATATTTTAAGACTTGTGTTATGTCTTGGATGTATCATGGTAAGAAAATTTTCTACCACGATAATGATTTTAATAATTTGCGAAAAATTGATTTGTATTTTTGAGGGTGTTACATCCTATATTCCCAAGTAAATGAATTTTGATTCATGGAACATTCACATGGCTATGAAGGATGAACACTTTAGAATCAAACTATTAGCTAGTAACAGAGAGCCAGACGTAATAGTAATATAAGTGGCAAGTGAAAACCAATTTTTTCAATATCAGAAAAACCATGCAACTTATGCAAAGAAAAAAAAAGAAAAGAAACAGAAAAAAAGAAAGAAAAACCATGCAATTCCAACTTACCATTTGCATTATTAAAAGGAAAAATTAGTAAAAAAAATGATCAAGTTAGAAAGCAAATTAGTCCCAGGGACCAATCATCTTGAAGGACCAAACTTATTATTTTATTCAAAAAAGGTTTAAGGAAATGGATCAAAATGTCCTGAGAGAAAACAATACAGATCGAAAACGATTGTTAATGCCCCTACTTCTCCAAGCCATCGTCTTCCTCCTTTTCCATTTCACTTTCATTGTCATTAATCACTCTCGAACTCACATTTACCGTCGTTCATGCCATTGCACATAATCTGCCTTGAACTCTCTGCAAAACAACAAAATATCATTGAGATTTACTATTGTAATTCTCTGGGAATCTGAGATGGAAGAGGATAAGGAAGTTACAAAACAAGCAAAAGCCGAAAAGGCAACCTCGCCTCCACCTACTATTGTTGGTAGTAGATGTTAAGGCTATTGGGGTCTTTCTTTAGAAATCTTGCTTAGTTGTGCCATCATATTCCACCTGCCTTTACGTCATCTATCATCAATTGACTTATTTACTTCTCCTGCATCATGGTCAAGGAAGAGGAAAACTAGAAGGCTGAAGCCTCTCCTGCTAGTGCTTGAACTCGAAGCCTCTCCTGAAGCTGAAGGTAAGCTTCCATCTATCTTATTGGTGCCCTGTTGTTATTGCAATGGTGTGCAATTACTTTACACATATATATGGAATGGAAGAAGGTACAAATGATTTGGTGGACTTCTTCGATTTGCAAATGCTGAGTAGGAGATAGTGGCTTGGTTAAAATCTTGTTATGTAGTTTTCATGTTCTGATAATTTCTTCTTGATAATTATGTTTATATTTATGAATAACAAAGTTTGATTGGATTTTAAGCTCTTCTTTGCCTTTAAACCTTTAAAATTGAATCAGTAACAACTCTATATATGACTAATTTTATGGGTCCTTTTGTCCATCTTAACCAATTCCAATACTTTAGTTCATTATAATGAATATACTACTTTGTTCTATGTATAAGGTATTTTACAAAAACAAAAAGTGGTCCTAATTATAAGGTACCAAACAAAAGAGATAAAAAAAATTTTGAATTTTACCCTTGAACTTGAAAAAATATTTGCACAAATAACAATATGATTCATCATCTTCTTCTAATTAATAAGGGTATATTTGGAAAGTTAAAATTTCTTTTTTTGACAACTAAAGTAACATAATAACCTTTCTTAAAATTAAAGCATGTGAAACATGTCTCAACAACCTTATATAGAGGGCTGGAGGAAATACATCATATGCATAGTATTGGCTAAGAGAAAGTCAGGTAAGTAGACAATTTGGCATAAGCAGGTTCTTAAAATGGCAAAAACAATTATACTCTTTTAGAACTAATTTTGCGGCTCAAAATTTAAGCCTGAACAAAGGCAAATTGTGTTGTGTTACTTTTGTTTTACATTTACCTTATTTGAATTTATATCTTGCACTCAACTGTGGGTCATGTTTTGTTTGCCTACCAACCCAATCACTTTGTGCTTTCTTTAATTACCCCTGCCATCTTTTATTTTTTATTTTTGGCATGTGGCAACTTAGGAAGGATCTTAAGGTCAACTATTTCACCCTCCATTTCTTAACTATTGTTGTTGGTTGGCCATTGCTTATATTATACCCATTGACCTAGTAGGGGAATGTGGTGATAATCTGAAATGTTCTTGTGGCAAGTGAATATGTCAGTGATCCTAGAATTTAAAGATTTAGGAAAATTTCTTGATTGATAAACTTTTTGATTTGGTATTCTGTTCAAGATTTAACTATTTAATAACGAGAAAGAAAGCTTACTTGTTTTCTTCATTCTCTTGTCACTTCTAAAGCTAACTAAGCACAGAACCTATTGTAATCAACCACTAAAATGCTTTGTTTTTTACCAACTATAATCTCAGTGGTCAAAATTCAATTGATTTTTTGTTCCATTTTTTGCCCTTGGAACTTAGCTTCCAAATATGGGAGACTAATGTCAAAGATTAGTTTTTAATGTAGATCCTATATTGCAAGATCTAGAATCCTCTGTTCAAAATTCATGATCCCAGCATTCAGCTCTAGATAGAAAATTTTAGTATTGGCAGCAACCAACATTGAATAATGAACACTGTGTTTTTATAATAACAAAAATACTTTATAATTTTGTATTTTGTATAGTTTGTTGCTAATGGATTTTAACTTCTATCATATAATTATATTTCATGAAAAAAAAAAAGGCATCACAAGTGGTAATGAGGTTGGCTGAATGTAAGGTAGTTAAAGACAAATTCATTTATTCTCATTTATTTATTTGCAATTATATTTCGCTGAATTTGCAAGAGAATAATCAATGCTTTACTTTAACTTCTAAAAAATTAAAAATGGTACTTGGTCTATTACTCTTTGATTAATGTTTTACTTGAATGAACCTTGTAGATTGCAAAATGAGTTGCAGGAAGGTGTAAGTTGGTAATGAGCTAAATACTGATATAAACTCATTTCATCTTTGGTTTAATTGATTTATTATATGCCAATTTCTTTTGTGAGTGTCAAATAGATTTCTTTTAAATGCAGAGGTCAAGTGTTGGACAATAGCTTTATTGGCCATCGTTAGTGTTGCCTTTTCTTTCATTCCTAATATCTATGATTTGAAATTGAATTAGTGAATATGTAATCTACATTATGTGATCCCTTCTTGAATTTTATATTCATATATTTGTTGCCAAGTTAGTTACTTACTTACCTATTAAATTATTGCTTAATAAAGGCCTTAAACCTATTCTCTTGTAAATAACCAACCTTCTCTCTTCTAGTTATGACTTATTCTATTTTAGTTTAGATCTTGGAAATCAAGTTAAATTGGTGTATTAGCCATTTGTACTGTTATTATTTGGGTTATGTTGATGCTTTGTATTCCTAGTTTAATGAATAACTAAATGACATATTTGCTGACATTTCAAGAAGTATGTATTTTTCAACTTAGGAGATTTTAGATAACTCTTCATAATATTGCTTCTCTAGACTGCACTTGTAAGTTGATGTTTGTGGTTATGTGAAATTTTTGTTAATTCCCATAGCTCATTCTATTGATTTTGATTCTACTACTGTCAGTTAAATAACAAATGTATCAACCAAAGACAGTTCCTAATTCAAGTCTAGTTAACAACAATTTATTAGTTTATGGCCAGCATTTTGATTGTGGTGATACTGTAATAGATCATTGCATCTGATGTTGGTTTCTTCTTTTTAGTTGATGTTGTGGCACAACTTACAAGGCCAAATAATGAGTCCTCTTTTTTTATTACCACTTAATAGGAACTGGTTTCTTCTTCTTGTTTTCTAACCCAAATTTATGACATTGTTTTTATTTGGCAAAGTATAAGTATTAGATTGCTCAGTAACTATCAAGCACAATAATTGCTAAAAAGTATGGCATTTATAATTCAATTTAAAATTTAAGAAAAATGTTTTTAGCTTAAGGTGCACTTGTTATAGCTTGGGGTACAAGGGGTATGATTTAGGTGCAAAGAATATAGTTTAAGTGCAAAGCTTTTTGCCTTGAGTGCAAGAAATCTAATTTAAAGTGTAAAGCTTCTGGCTTAATTATTTTCACGTAATTCATAATCATTTTCATATAATTCAAAGACACTAACAATGATTTACATATAATTTACTAAATATTACATGTAAATTATTCTTGAGGCATGCTCGTGAATTTGTTCATATGTTAATTTACATGTAATACGTAATCATTTTTGTATAATTAAAGAGCATTAATAAGGATGTGCTTCTTATGTATTTGATTTATATATAATCTTTAATTATTCCTTAGTCATGCTCATGAATTTCTTCATATATTAATTTACATATAATCCATAATTATTTTTATGTAATTTTAAAATATTGACAGGGGTGCTCTTTGTGTTTGATTTACATATAATCCACTAAAAATTATATTTAAATTATTCTTTAGGCATACTCACAAATTTTTTTCCTATATTAATTTACATATAATCTATAATCATTTTCATATAATTTTGGAGGATTGACAATAACATTTTCCTTGTGTGTTTAATTTACATGTAATTCATTAGATATTAAATGTAATTATCTAAACCAAAAGTACTTGCACCCAAGCCAAAAGCACTTACATATCAAGTCAGAAAGTTTACACCCCCCAGAAGACTTAAACCCAAGTCAAAGGCCTTTCACCTCAAGCCAAAAAATTTGCCCCCAACCTCTTGTTATAAACGCCGACTGAAGAAAGACACAAATATCAAGCTCAAATTTGGAAACCAACTACATTGAACTTAATAAATGGTATGACAATATTAACTCGTAAAACAAGCTATAACTCAAGACTCTGAAGCACTCTCAGCAACGCCAGACAAAACTTTCAAGCTGGTCTAAGTGGCTCCCACCAATCAAACTAAACTCCCTGAAAGGTTGACTTTACAATGCCAAAATTCGGAATAACGTCTTTAGGATGTTCATGATAATGCATCTGGAAAAGGGGAAAAAAAAATACATGAAACAGTTGGTACTCGCTGTCACTGACCACCATGCTTGGCCTTGTTATGCTGTTGCAGACCACTTTCAGAGTTGAAAGACCTGGACAAATCACGGCAAAAGTTAGACCAAGTCTAAAACAATACAATGATACCTTGGGGGTGAAGAAAACATACTTGTTGCAAGATTTGCAGGACAATTGCCCGCCAGACTTGGGCTCCTTGGCTTCACTGTTAGGAGTTTTTCCCCCCTTCTTCATTGGGTGAGGAGTTGCGGTATGACCACCTTTTTTAGCATCTATAACAAAATATCAGTCTTCAAAATCAATTATATAATAGAAAAATGTGATAATCACATGACGAAAATGATTTGAACTGGCAAAGCCACACTTATTTAAATTTTATGGCATCTATGGAAACACAAAGCCCAGGAAATGAACACATACATGAAGCATTAATAAGCCATCCATGAAATGGAAAAACAAGTACAATCAGAAATCCCCGGGGAACAAAACTAAATAAGAGCCTCACCACTCTTTTCAGGAGTACCAGATTTAGCTTTCTTGGCAGAAACTGGAGTTTTGGATGCAGAATTATTGGGTCTCTTCTTGCTCAGATCCACCTTCAAAACATACAATCATACTCTTCCAGCATGCTTCATTGCATCCAAACAAAATTTTCATAACAAAATGGGCATTTCAAGCATAACCATACAACGCTTACCTTCTTCTTGGGAGTCTCCTCATCATCTCCATCATCCTCGCTCTCATCATCACTATCGCTATCAGCATCCATCATATCCTATGATGAGGAAAATTGGCAGGTGTCAAGAGATCCTCAGCAAGATAATCATGACACAACTTACAATACCAAATCAATGTTTAACTTAGCCCGGAAGAACAAAAAATGGAGACAAATAAGACCCCAAAGTATCTCTGTCTATCATTTTTGTACATGCAGGCTTGTAGCGAAAGCATATTACATCTGGCTATAGAAAAGAATGAAATACTAATTAAACCCACACTACTTTACATACCTCATCAGAACCTCCTTCATCATCAGATTCATCATCCTCATTATCTTCAGAATCATCATCATCTTCATCCTTCTTTGGATCAACCTTGCCTTGCTTTTTGACATCATTAACTGCATCATTTCTTTTCAATGCAGCAACCTTAGTATCAGGTTTTCCTAAAAGAGAACAGCAGTTAGTCGCCATGATTACTAAAGGTATAGCTAAAAATAATTTCAGAATTAAAGCAAGCAAACACCATTGTCTTTTGTTATCACTGGGACATCCACATCCTCTTCACTGTCTGTCCATGTCAAACAAACGTACATGTTTGATCAGCCAACTTAATAAGTTAATATAAAAATAATAACTAAAAAGAATTCGACACAACGACACTCACCAGATAAGTCGTCAAAGTCATCACCCGTGCCACCACAAACACATCATATGTAAAGGAAAATTGAGAGAAGTTATAGTATTTATATGCCAAGCCATTGATAACCTTTAGTGCTATATCCTTAGAATCACCACCAGGAAATATAATTCTAATTCTGATTTTGATACCCGTTAAATGGGATGGCTGTTGACCACCCAATGATCAATAATGCAGAAGGTACCAAAGAATTGGGCGGGAAGAAAATTCCCAAATTTAAAACCAAAAAACGATGTGAATTGTAAAGGATATCCTTCATCAGGAAGCTCAGCTTTATATCCACAGAAAAAGACGCTCCCATTTTTTGAATTGTGGGAGAGCTCAAACTCCTTTTCCAGAACTAAGTCAAACGATATCTGGGGGAAATTATCCCTTGAAAGGGTTCCCAAAACAAATTTCTGGTCATCAAATTTTAAGTAAAGAACCACAGGTTCAGCTCCCTTGTCCTTCTTCGTCTCACCGAGAGCAGCCTGCAAGACAGTATGTCAGGAGGTTTCGTCGAAGACCAGCAATGTCGAATTGATCAACAACAAAGTTCTAACCTGAGAAAGATGTATGTAGGCATCAAAATCTTGAGGATCAACTTTAACAGGCTCCCCAGTCTTAACCTCAACACCTGTGTTTCCCAGATGTTAGATGAAGTCAAAACAGCACTTCCCCAATAAAGAGAAATAATATTTGACCAACAGAAATATGACATGGAGACTCCGAAGAACGAAACGGCTAGCCATGAAGGGATGATAAACTGTCGTTTTAGACGACATTATGAATATAGGCATAGCGTCCTCACATCAAACTTGGAGAAAGTTGATTTCAGACAGGTAAAATGTTTCACACAAACATCAAACACAGCTAGACGTGCGCAAGACATATGAGCATGTCATTTAATAGACAGAGCGGTCCACAGACACAGCAACGGACCGATAGAATGAATGAGAACCAGATAAATGAAATGCAAAGAAAAGAAGGAAATGAACGAATGCAGGGCATGGAAAAAAATAAATGGTGAAAAGAGAAGCAAGGAAAGAGGGGAATACCCCAGAACTCCATTAGCAGTAACAGCGAAGGAAGCACTAGCTCGAAGGGTTGAGGGAGTGAAAGGGAGCTGAAACAGCAAGCGCAAACCAGGAAATGGAAGTCGGGGGCTTTTATAACCGTATTGCCGCCTACTAGGGTTTTAGAGTTTCCTCCGCGTTTTTCCCCCCCTGGTTCCGCCCCACCCTCCCCTTTTTCCCTCCAGAATTTTTTTTTTTTAAATATTCGCCGTCACCGTCCGTAATTTACATGTTCGATTATTGGGCCTGTGCTAGCGCTAATGGGAAAGGAGGGCCTAAGCCCAAAGTATTTCAAAATTACGGAAAGCAGGGCAGTGGTCTCGTCTTGTCTTGCCTTGCCTTGCCTGGTGTTCACATCACACGCACTACTTCTCCAAGCAAGAGTGGACTGGAGATCCTCGATGATGTTCACTCGGGACTTTAATTTGTTTTGACATAAAGCGCAGTTCAACATTGAGTTTTTTGTTTTATTCAGACTTTTCTTTATATATATATATATATATATAACCTCTCCTATCTTTTTTTTTTAATATTCTCTCCTATTTTTATTATAAAATATTTTTAATTGTTTCATGCATCTTAAAAAAAATTAATTTTATTTTTACTTTTAAATTTCAATAATTAAATAATTACATTAAATACTTGTGTGTTAATCAATGAGTAAAATTAAAAAAATAATAATTTAATTGTTACAAGATTTCTTAGATTTTGAATTAAAAATTACTTTTAAAAATATTTTATAAATAAAATTGATTGCTTTGTGTGTGTGCCACTTTATTCTTCTACTCTTCAAATAGAATATCAACGGTAAAATTTTATGCAACGATAAAAAAAATGGAATTCTGTACTTGATTCTATATAAGGGAGCATATCAGTTGCAATTATTTTTTTCATCAGAAAATGAAACAAAAATGTTACGCTATTCTATCCTTTGGACCCTTAAAGTGATAAATCAGAAAATCAAATAAATCGAATGTCTAGCATATCCCTCTTCGCTATTTGTGATTTTTAAGAGTTTGGTATTCTTACAAATACAAAATAATCCAACAATGATATAAATTGTGAACTGTATGAAAAAAACATAGACATGTAATCAGAAGAAACATGTTAGCCAACCCCAGCAAGCAGTGACTCCATCCCAAATGAAATATGTTGGTCAACGCGAAATGTTACAAAATAGAAACTGCATTTCTTCATAGATAGTAGGAGAGAAGACCGAGATGAGAGAAAGATGATGAAAACTGCATGCTTGATTTTGGCGCATTGATTGTTTTAAAGTGAAAGTAGATTATTGAATCCAAGAAGGAAATAAAAATAGCTATAGGATAAGATACAAACTATATCTCTCAAAACTAGCACAAACTTGGAGAGCTCATCAACTACTCAAGTGTTAGGCAAGAAATTAAATTTTGCGCAATTTGAAACTAAATGTCATGACAAATTATAATCATTGTCCGATAGGATGTTTACTCATAAGTCCACAATACAAGGCACAACTATGAAAATGACAATTTATTTTTCATTTTTGAGAAAGTCAAGACATGCGTGAAATTCTTAGATACATGCATAATTTGTTTGTGTGGCAATGACAACATGAAATCAATTTGATGTTGATCTAAGCTAACCAATTTTGGTTACTTTGTCAACCTCTCTGGATCAAGAAACAAACGGTGTCATCACACTACCCTTGTTGCCACCCGCACATTCCAAGCTCACATTGTTGCACTTTCGTGGGCACAGAAAGAAGCTCCTAGGTTTGAGCTCAATTAACTTCTCCTCCCTCAGCAAACCTACTCACCACCCTAAATTAATTAGACTGTTTTATCTCTCTTACAGCCATATAAATATCGTAACAACAAAAAACACAAATTGATGTGGCTCACTTTCTAAGCTAAATTGCAAATAATGGAGGTCAAAATTAGAGGATTTAGTGCTTGACAAGCCCAGCGAGTGACCTTCCTTCACATACTAATGCACTATTGCTGCCACCAAATCTTCCACCATAGATTTTAACGTCATCACGACCTGCATAGGCCTAAGGCTCCCTTGTATAATCACTTTAAGTAGCAATTTTGGCAGTACTCGAGGAAGATCATCAAGTAGTGTTGCGATAAGGAGACTTTAGTGGGAGAAAAGGTTCGACACGAGGTTAACATCCCACACTATTTATGCATAGAACGTTGACTATTATGCAGGTTAAATTATGCTCAGCATGGTTTGTCATGGTGAATACATCATCGATCATGGTGAATAACCCATAATTTGTAAAATGACATTTTTTTGCCCTTTTTTGCAATATTTTCTAAATGGTTGGTATTTCATACTTTCACATACACTATAATTCTGATTTAGTCTTATTTTGAATAATGCTTATTTATTTAATGATGAAAATTTGTGATCAAGTTGAACTATCATAAAATTTTACAGACGATTGACGTGAAAAACGATGATTTCATCAATAAATTTAAAACTCAAATTAGTCGGTTAATTAAAATTATCTAATATTTAAACTTCTTCAAATGAGATCTCAAATTTTCACCATTGAATAAATAAACATATTCAAAATAATATTAAATTAGAGTTATAAAGTATACGGAAGTATGATATACTAATTGTTTGAAAAATATTACAAAAAAGGGCAAAAAAATATCATTTCACAAAAGTATAGTCGCTCACCATAGCCAACAATGCATTTATCACGGCTAACTGTGCTGAGGCTAATTTGGTATATATAAATGGTGGGAGTAATTTGTTCAAAATTTTAAAGTTTAGAATCCAAAATATTATTAACATAATAGTTTAAAGTCTGTGATACTAACTAACAATGACACATCAACATTAATTGGAGCCCACGGTGAACAGTGTTGCATAAATAGTAATAAGTTAAAAAAGTTAATGATTAGGATTTATTTTGTATATTTTAAGAGTTTAGGATCTACAGTAATTTTGAGCAAGAGTTTATGGTTATATTTGGTCATTAATCCTTTAATCTTAAACAAATAGACCCTAAATTTACTCTATCAAATTATTTTAAATTATCTACACAGGTGTATTTATTGTGATTTAATCATTAAAATAATTTATTTACTCCGTGTTATGATATAGTCTCGTAATTAAAACTTGAATTATATATTTTTCAAATAAAAATTAATCATTTAAACTTTTTTTCCCCAAAATCTGTTTTCTATGATAGTTAAGTTACAAATTCTCATGTTGTCACATACTGATGTACATTTATAAATTTAAAGTGATACTTATAAATAAATCTTAAATATCTCTTAGCACTTGAAAAATATTATTATTTTTATAGGGAGGATAAAAGATGGTTTATATCTATAATTTTAGAACATGGTACTAATTTACTTATCTAGGATCATATAGAAGTAGCAATGAGTATCTTTTTATATCAAATTAATATACTTACGCATTACGTGAGTGCAATCTTGGTTTATATTTTAATATATATGTGATTTCGGTTTTTATTGAAATGGTATATATTTGTACATATAGATAAAATATAAAATTCAATGTTGATAAAAAATAAACTTACATCACTAAATCGATCAAAAGAGAAAGATATTTAAAACTTTTTACTTTATGTACATTTAAGAAAAATAAGAAAAAATTTATAACAAAAATAACTAAGCTGACACATCTACGGTGCTTTATCCTAGCTAGATCAAGATAAGTCTTATATATATATATATATATATATATATACTCTCTTTATTTAAAAATATTATACATTTTTAATTTAATCTCACCCCAATAAAGTTATTATCTATTTTTAAACTAATCATATATTTTTATATTCTTATTCTTTATAATAGATATAAAGTTATTATTAATAAGGATGCTTTAAAAAAAAGTAATGATTATACCTCAAAAGATTAAAAATACTTTATATTTTTAAACATTCAGTTTCTCAAAAAATATCTTATATTTTTTAAAAAAGGAAGTATCATTTATCTTATGTCTAGTTTTAACTATTACTTTGGTTAAATTAATTTTAAATTTAAGATTTACCCCTTTGACAAAATACGTGGATTATATAGGTTTAGGCATCCAAGTCTGCTCATTATACTATATGTTCAAAGTATTTACACGAAATTTAAAATATTCTATTTAAAACAAGAAGGTTTTTCCCGATGGCTGCGCTGCTTTTGGTGTGTCACGTTCTGAGAGTTTTGTGCAGCCCACAGCTATAGGGTTGGGGCTTCACCTCCCATAACTAATAGCAGGATCTGAATACAAAGCCGATCGATCGTTGAGAATGATATGAAACCTTTCATGTTTTTCCTTCATCTCTTTACTATTTCTCTTCTTCTTCTTTAAAACTATTATTTTATCAATGCATTGGTCCCTGCTGGGATGGTGATTTTGTAATTTTGATGCTTTCTCATTGCTTTTCATAAAACATGATCCTCGTTAGCATCCATTCCCTTTCATCATTCCTTATTTTCCCTCCTCAGCTTTTCAATGTATTTTGTGTGCTTCCATTGATTTTCAACTGCTTCTTTCCCTGAGGTCCAAGCTTCGACACTTCCTTTTATTCTATCATTTTTAAAAAAATAAATTTCGATCTATATTTTTGCATCGACATGCCCAAATTCCAACATTTTTTATACACTCTATTATTGCCGTTCCTTTTATTTTGTGGTCATTACTGCACAAGCTCTGTTTGTTCTCTTGAGAACGAAGCAGAGCTTTGACAGTATGACACAAAATCTCTAAATCTTGTATAATGATTATTTGGGGCGTTATTCATGAATTTAATGTTAACTTGTTTTTCTATATCAAAACTTTATAACAAAATAACCAAGCTGAGGCTTTATCTCAGCCAAATCAGGATAAGTCTATTTTTTATATAATTTATCTTATGTCTAGTTTTAACTATTACTTTGGTTAAATTAATTTTAAATTTAAGATTTACCCATTTGATAAAATACATTGATTATAGTATATGTTTAGATATCTAAATCTGCTTATTATATTATATGTTCAAAGTATTTACACGGAATTAAAATATTCTATTTATATTCAGAAATAGATATCTGATAGCGATCATCCTTACTTTGAATATGAAGAAGAATAGGAATCCTCATTAATGATCGAAGAAAATAGTTAACACTAATAATGATAATAATAATAAT